TATATATATATATAATAAGCAGAGTTTTTCTAGATGTTTGCCAGTGACAGTTCTGTGGGAGTTGTTCTCCTCTGGAGCTGATGGAGCGCTTGAATGTCAAACGATGCATGAATCTTTTGTGGGGAGGCTGATGGAGTGGAGAGGAGGTGAGCGTGTGAGAGGCTATCTTCAAGCAAGTTTTGATTGAATTAACTTTCTCTTTGTTATCACAATGAGTCCTTTCTCCCTGTGACAAAATAAAATCCCTGCATGTTGTGATCCTTCTTTGCCTACAGTCACTGTCTGTTGTGTGTGTGTGTGTGTGTGTGTGTGTGTGTGTGTGTGTGTGTGTGTAAACGCCCCTGCATGTATAGCTACCATACATTAGCAAGTGTTTAAAGGGGCGTGTTGTTATTGGCGGGAGACAAACATTTCCGTTTTTAATTTGCCAACAAAGTGTTTGCAGAGAGCCATCATACTAATCTGTAAAGACAAACTGTCATGGCTTCATGGTTCAATTCTCTCTGAGCTCATCAGACAGTGCAGTTATCATCTGCAGCAGGATTCATATGAATGCTTACAGCATCTTCTTGATGTAACACTGAAAATGTCAAACAAATTCTATCTTCTGATTTTTTTTCTCGTGATCTTTTCCAGGTTAAAGTCTGGTTTCAAAACCGCCGTACCAAGCAGAAGAAGGACCAAGGGAAGGACTCCGAGTTGCGTTCAGTGGTTTCGGAAACAGCGGCGACCTGTAGCGTCCTCAGACTTCTGGAGCAGGGGCGGCTGCTGACTCCTCCGGGCCTGCCAGGCCTCCTGCCGCACTGCGGCGGGGGCACTCTGGGCACTGCCCTGCGCCCCCCTTCGATGGCCATGTCCAACAATGGCAGCGTTAGCAGCAGCAGCGGAGGCAGCGGCAGCACGGCTGGCGGCAGCCCTCCACTCCCCGCAGTCACGAGCTCAGGGACAGTGGCGGGCCTGCAGAGCTCACCAGCTGCTCACAGCCTTTTCAGCTTCCCCATGCCGTCCATACTCAGCGGCGTGGCCACCCGTATTTCATCCAACCCTCTCTCCATGGCTGGCTCGCTGGCCGGCAACCTGCAGGAACTTTCTGCCCGTTACCTGAGCTCGTCTGCCTTTGAGCCTTACTCACGGACCAATGGCAAAGAATCCATGGACAAGAAAGTTTTGGAATGATCATGTTTTTTTATTCCTAGTCCGGATTCCTGTTGCCTCTGGGTGCATTTTAGTTGTTTTCTTTGTTGTTACTGTCTTTGTTTGGTTTTGCCAAGTGTCTGTCATCGGTTGGTGTCACGTTCTGTAACAGCTTACATGTTCCTGCACATCTGGCGCCTTGAACAAGGAAGAAAACAAAGGCCATCACCAGCTTATCTCACACACAGGGTGGTGGATGGATTTTGCACAAAACGTTGCCACAGGACTTTTACAACAAAGAATTAGAAAGACGGCGGTGTTGAGAGTGGTTTTGTCAGATTTTGTGTTAAAAAATAACTCCATGTGATCATCTAGTACAGCTGCTAAAAAACAAAGAAGCTCCACCGCTGCAGGAGCTTCATTGTGTACAGCAGGGACGTCTCGGCCTGGTGGCAGGAATTTTAAATGGTCTCTTTCCTGAACTGTGTTGTATCTGTTGGTTGTGTTGGGTACGTGCGCGTCGCCGCAGTGCGTCGATGTAAAACACCGGAGCGTCAGTGTGAGATTCCAATCAGACAAATCAGTGTTTAAAACGTGAAGCGCAGCGTGCTGAATGAACGAGAACAGTTGATTTCTTGATGGAGGAGGAGAAAAACGTACCTCCATGTGAAGGTCGCTGCAAGGTCGATATCATCTCCAAACCTTTGATGTGTGAATACCATCTGCATCAGCAGGTGCTTCACCGGATCTCAGCTTACAAAAACATTTTTTTTTGTAAATCAGTTTAATTTCGGACCAAAACAAAACAGAACCCAGAAAAAAAAAACGTGTCGTCATCCAGTTTGGTAGTTGAATTGTTTGGTGTTGTTCGCTTTATGGTTTGGTGAAGAATTTTCAAAATCTTCCCTTTGTGGTATTTTTGTCTTCAAGATGCAGTTACCAAGTTATTTTACTTTATTTTATTGTATGTTGCTCGTTTTTCATCCTCTTTTTGTCTGTGCTTTAATACCACTGTGAGTTCTCTGAAATTTGGTGGTTTTTTTTGTTTTTTCTGTGCCGACACTATAAAAGAATTGCTAAGGGACAACAAATTAAAAGAAAATATATTTTTGCAGCATTACTAAGCAACTTAATTGGACAAACACACAGGATTTGCAATTGATAAGATAATTGAATTGCCTCTTTAAAATAAAATAATAATACAAAAATCTACACCCACATTTTGCCAACAAGTTTAGGCAAACAAGGAGAATGAATGGCATCGATGTATGAAACACTGAATTGTACCTTAAAGTTGTTATTTTATTGTAAATTATTTACCTCTGTAATTAATAGATTATTAGTATATTTGAAAATGAATGAATGAATGTATTAGTGGAGTTTGAGGAATCAATTTAAAGCTCTTTGGTGCTGTTGTTGTGAAATATTTTGAACTTTGTGAACCGTGTGGTAAAAAAACGTGCATATATATGATGTATATGGCTACAGACAAAGACAAGTGTGTTTTTCATTTTTCCTTTCATACGTGTTGCTACAATGAAGTTATGATAAAATTTATGACTGTTATACCTCTTATAAACCAGCCTGATGTTTTTGCTCTCAGCGTGGCTCGATGATGTGATCACCACCTTCATCACTTGTAGACTTTGGGCTTGAAATGAAACTCGTCACCACAGAAACAAAAGACTCTTAACTTACAGGTGTCAAACAGTAACACGGTGAAGCACCAGCAGGCAGGGAGAGAGAAAATGATCATTAGAACATTTAAAGCAGACTTGGCTTGAACTACTGAAACATATTTATGATTTTTCTTGTTGTTAAATTAATCAATTATCACAAAACAGTGAAACAGAGCTGCCCAGACTCTTGGTTTCATTCCATGATCAAAAAGTTGGACATTTATTTCAGTAAACCCTCACAGCAGAATTGATTTATTTGTTTATTTATTTGGGGTGTTCAGAACAAATCCTCTTTCCCAACCCACATTCAGATATCTTTTCTCCCCAAGGCTGGCTGGTGGCGGCATGCGCTGCATTTGTCTCGCTACGTAAAAGACCTGCGCACAATTACGAGCCATCCCTGCAACACCCGTGTGTTGCGCAACAACTCTCTGCTTGTTTCATGTTTGTCACAATGTCCTGGCCGAGGTCACGCCAACAGATCATTTTAGAATAATGTTTGTCTACTGTGTCCGATGCTAAACGCCCGATTGTTGAAAATCAAACAAGCTGTGATTTTATGTAATCTGGAATATAAAGTACTTTGTTGACAAATATTTATATTGATATAATTTTAGAGTGAAAAAGTTTACAAACTTGAAATTCAGAATCCTTTCTATCAAGGTGTTCAGAAGCACGTCAGTGGTTTTATTTCTAATCTTACTGCATCAGATTTGATCATGTAATGTAAACCTTTGGACACACTGGACCAGTTCATGCAAATCTAATCTGCGCACGTGTTGAGGCTGATCTGAACAGACATGTTTGTTGGGGACACCAGAATTGTGTTTGCTGCTGTTTTTAATTATTATTATATTTTTTATATCTGGGTTGGTTCAAGTAACAAAAATACATCTCTTAAAAGCCTGTGAAAAACCTAAATCAGTGTGTGTGTGTGCGTGCGTGTGTGGGGGGGACAACTTGTTGAGTAACAGATTTTCTGACAATAGCTTAAAGGGTACAAACATACAATAATTACTGACATTTTGGGCACTTGAGTACAAAAAACAAGTAGTTTTAAAGATTTCTGCAGCAGATTTAAACAAACGTGTGTATTTGAACTAGACTAGGCACAGGTAAATAATACAATATAATATAATATAATACAATATAATATAATATAATTAAAATGGGAAACACAGGGATGTGGTGAGTAGTGTTGCTGCCTCACAGATAGAAGGTTGTTGGTTTGAATCTTGGTTGGGGTCTGTATGTGTGGAGTTCCCCCCGTACCCATGACGGACTTGTGTGGTAACACAGGCGTTCTCTTATGGATAAAAAAACATGCTCGTTTGGTTAATTGGTGATTCTAAATTGACCGTGAGAGTGAATGGTTGTGCTGGCGGTGGTTTTGTGATGGACTGGCGACCAGTCCGTCCCAAGCCTCTCGCTCTTGGACAGCTGGGAAAGTGTGAAACAAAGTCCCACCTATGACCCTGAACGACTTGAAGCGAGTATAGAAATGGAGAGGCGGATACTTTAAGTTTTACTTGTACTTCTTTTTGCAGACAAATTATCTGAGAACGACGAGTTATTAACAGAGAATCAATAAATCTCTTACACCAGTTCATCTCACTATGTCTGAGGAACATCCCCAGTTCTTTTTTTGTTGTTGTCACATTCATGTCTCTAACCCCAAACCCCCACCTATTTTCTTTCTTCCCCCTTAGTCCAATTAGAAGCCTGTTGGGGGAGGGAAGGGGTTAGGAGCTTAAAAGTGTGTATCCATGTGTGTATGCACACACAAGGTTGTCATTGCTGCAGACCACCAACATTTTTTCTTCCAACACATGGTCTGTTGTTTGAGCTCAACACTTAGATGAATGAAAAACTACATCCTGTCTTGCATTTAAAAATCTATTTTTTAGCCTTACTCCTTTTGTCCTATGAAGGGAATCTGGATTAACATGCGAACACGTACGAGCCTCTTCTAACACTAATCCAACAACCCTAAGAACTCCCGTGCAGCAAATCTATAGGATGCCCCCTCCAGGCATCGCTGGCCTGTGAGAAAGCTACGGAGCTCAGTCACTCTGCTTTCTCACAGAATAATTAATCCCATTAAATAATTAAAGGAAGGGTAACCCCTTGAAAAGCACAGCTTTCATATTGGTTTTCAGTTACGTATTTTGCAAAAAGCTCCATGATGTCATACATGCAACTTACATATTTAGTGTAAAAACACATTTCTTCATCTTCACTGACTTGTTGCGCGCATGTAGGTTAACAACTTGATTTTAAGAAGCGTTATGGTGAAGACAAGAGCAAGACTCCTGCTGCTACGAAAACAGCAATCGTATCTTAGACCAATTTTTATGCAGCTTCCCATCTCCTCATTACGTTCTGCACTGCATTAGTCATTCTACACTGTCACTTGAACACGACCAAGAGAACATATTCTACTTGATTGTTAGTTGACGAGTTTCCAGTCACAGCAAAAAATAAAATAAAGAAGGTTTAACAGTTAGTGTATCTAATGTTCAGGCGCTGTAAAATGTTTTTAGAAACAATTAGCTATACAGAATTGGGGAGAAAAGGACGAAGAAGTACAATTACAAAATAATACTGGAATATAACAGAAGAATATGAAGTTTACTACTGAACAAAGACAAGAACCACAGAAATTCACTAAAGATTTTACATGAGATCACAAGACATGAGGAAACTGACGGTTCACACAAGGAAATGTGCAAAAATTATTTCACATGGTCGTGCTTTTTCTTTAAGTATGACCAGTTTCAAAGTGAACATCTGGACAAACTTTGAACAAACAGCTCAGAATCAGTCAAGTTCAAGTTTCTTTATTGTCATTCTCATCACATGTGGTACATGAGGTAGAACAAAATTATGCACACAGGGTCCCAGTTACACCCAAAAATAGCAAAAATATAAAGTATAAAAATAAATAGTATACAAGGATCTAAAATATACGCTAAACACTGATAATGTAAAACAATAATGTATATTAACAGCAGCCTGAACATGAGTCTGTAGTGAGCAGATGGGTATGAGCAGATGTAAGAGTAGATGGATGACAATAAAAATGCTAAAATAAATGCTATAAGAAAATTAGCCAAGTTCTGGTGATTTTCACAACAAAGGAGATGGTTTTCTTTAGTAGAACAACATATTTTCACAGCAATTAAAAACTTTTAAAATTAACATTTGCATAAAAAAATTCACTTAACAGAAATCCACACAATGCGGCTTTTGAATAGTTTGTCGGACACTGCATGTGATGTGGTGCCCAAAAAGGTGATTATACTATAATTTCATCTAGATTGAAAAAAATATATATTATTTTGCCTGTGCAGCATAAGATGA